CTTCCTCTTCTTCCTCTTCCTCTTCCTCCTATAACCAGCTTAAATAAAGGCTAACAGTCAATAAACACAAAGTGTGCCAAACAAAGCTTGAGTCCAGTGGCACCTTTAAGACCAACAGAGTTTAATTCTGGGTCTTAGCTTTCATGTGAATAAACTTTGTTGGTCTTAAAGGTGCCACTAAACTCAAACTTTGTTCTGTTGCACTGGAACAGATATTCTTAAGTACCACTGCTAATGAAATATTGAGCTGCTATTCTACCTTAAGCATGTGTGGACAGGAGGTGTTGGGTGTACCGTAATAATTTGTGAAGTCTTTTGTACAGTGTAACCCTATTGCCTGTGTAGAAGAGCCCTCTTGAATCATTCTGGTTTGCATAGGCTTCTCTCCCCACTGAACAGCAGCAGAAGAGGCACTTTTTCCTGTTTTCCTCCTCTAAAAACTAGGTGCGTCTTATGATCAGGTGCGTCTTATGGAACGAAAAATACAGTACCTTAATTAAAGAAACATACTTCTGTAGCCTACTCACAAGTAGGATGGACTTAACAAAAGGAAGTAAGAGAACCCAAGACTCAGAAGATATAACTTCTCTTCCAGCAAGCAAACAGATGAAGATAAAGGATTATTTTGCAACTAAGGAAACCAAGGAAACTCTAGTTTTTAATATCTTTTCCATCTCTGAATGGATTTGAGTCTAAAAGTCTTTTGCTTTTTCACAAGTCCACCACATATGATAAAGAGCCCTCCCCTTTTTTGCATTTCCAACATTTATTCGACATATTAGTGTTCATATTAGCAATTTTCTTCGGTGTCATGTACCACCTATACATCATCTTATAACAGTTTTCTTTAAAATTATTACATGTTGATATTTTCAGTGCATGCTTCCACAAATATTCCCAAGAATCTATTGTTACTTCTGTGTTCATGTTTATCGCCCACTTTATCATTTGCTCTTTAACCGTCTCTTCTTCCGTGTACCATTTTAACAACACTTTGTATATTTTTGAAATACATTTCTTCTCAGCTTCAAACCAGGCAACCTCGATCTCGTTATTTTTTTCTCTAAATGGGATTCCCAACTTTTATGAGCCTGTGGGCACCTTTGGAATTCTGACACAATATGGTGGGCACAGCCACAAAATGGCAGCTGCCAAAGAGCTGCCACAGTTGGTGGAACCAGCCATAAAAAAGCTGCTGCACCTTACATTCAGTCACATAGTGAATACCCTTGTGCTGTAGTAGCGGTTGCTGCCAAAACAACCTTTAAAAAATATATTCATAACCAATAAGATCTCCAGTAGCTAATTGGAAGCCTTGTTGGCAAAAATCCCAGCTGACCCCACCCACTTTCTAAAAGGAAAGGTGTCAGAGGGCACCATGGCACCCATGAGGACTGTGTTGGAGATCCCTGGTCTACGCTGTATTGCCACCAATGGCCAGCCTTGTTTGGGGACGTTAGCTATGTGGCAGGATAGGGCAGAGGGGTAAAGGAATTGCACACCACTTGTATACTGAGGTCTGGCACAGTAGGAAAACTCCAGATTTGAAGAGTAAATGAAATAGTTTTTATTAAAGTATTTCCCTAATTACAAACACAGTAAGCATTCAAAAAGAGCTAACAATACAGAACTAAGAAAGCAGAGATGATTGATAGCAAATAGAGGGGTCAGTTACAGGGTGATACAACCTGTCCAGATGTGCAGGGGTCCATGGAGATGAGTTTATGACCCAAACCAGAGGTTTAGGGGTGAACTGCCAGTTGGCATCGGGCAGACACACAATCTGAGGCCATGTGCTCTGACAGATATAGACTTTGGAAAACAACGCTGACTAATGGGAGGTCTTAAGGGGCTTGCCCCAGGTGAGACAAAAGATTACCTGGACCAATGATGAGCCACAGGAGGTGTGGCATCCGGAGGGGCAAGCCCTAGGTGGGACCAGTGAGCTTTCAGAGGGGCACAGTCTAGCTATAATGGGATTAAGCCAGGTGCTGGATGGGTAGCTGGGAGTGTCCATTGTGGAACAATAGAGTAGCCTGGTGTTTCCCTGGTGCCAGACAAAAGAGGTGATGTTTCTTAATGTGCAGCAGGATGAACCTGAATGGGAGGCCATTCGCTAGATATGGAGAGTTAATGTTTCCTTGATAGGTCTGGCATAGGTATAAGAATGCAGATATTTTAGAAAAATATATGGAGACAGGAATGAGAGGATTATTCCAAAGGTATTTCCTGACATATAGGTGAAACAGGAGAGGGGGATGGAAACATGCAACATACTTCATTCTTGACCATAGCACAAACCAGAGGCTCTTTGTCCCTCCCTGCCTGTAGGTTTGACAGACAAAAGACTAGCCATTTGGTTAGTAGAAGATGCCTGAGGTAAGGGCAGAGACTTGCCCATTCTAGTCCTTTTTAGACTGAGCTCACAGGATAGACATGGGGGGGGGGTTACTTGCATGGAGGATGTTTGGCAGTACAGTCAGCCTGGGGAGTCTTCACTTGGCTGGAATTTTCTCAGCCAAGATGTGGTTCTCCTAGCCTCCCAGCAAAAGCCACTGTTTAAGCCAAGCCTGGCTTCATGAGGGCACTGCTTGTGGATGTGCAGAGGTCATTTTGTGGTGTCTCTCAGGAAAGACCACCCCAGGTTCAGGGCTGAGGAGTCTGGCTACAGCTGTGGGTGGGAATCAAGGCAGTACATCTGAACTAAATTGACTTTATTTCTACAGTACACAACTAGAGTAAATACAGTCCCAGTATTAGAACGAAGACTAAGAGAAGAGCTAAAATGGTAGATATGTAATTTGAGACTTACAGATCCTGAGCATTTGCCAAGGATTTGCAGATGGGTAAAAGCAGATTGGCTGGTCCTTCTGCATAGCTTCACGTACACACAGAGAAGGAGAATAGAGCAAGAGCCCAGTAGTGTCTTAAAAGACTAGCAAAATTTGTGGTGGAATACAAGCTTATGAGAGTCATGAGGCTCACAAAAGATCATGTCCTGCCACAAATTTTGTTAGCCTTTAAGGCGCTACTAAACTCTGCTATTTTCTACTGCTACAGACAGACTCTTTTCACATTTCTTCCCATATATGTCAGAAGGTTGTTAACCAATTTGGGCCTTAGATTCTGGAGTCCCAAAAGTCTAAAAGGTCCAGCTTGGCCAATAGAGGAGAGGCGCTAACCTATCAAAGAGATGCCATGTTTTCCCTCCTGGTTTGTGAAGTCAAACCTAACTGGCTTAATGAAGCTTGATGGAACTTTTCCCAGCCTCACCATCTGCAAGCTTGTCAATTGCCCCAACTGTCCAGCCCCCCCCCCATCCATTACAGTCAGTTATGCTGGATAATGGGTTTAGTATGTGCTTAGTATGAATTTAACAGTTATATGTGGGCCAAGATATGGACAATTACACTTCATGTCTTCAAGAACACATTCCCATGTTGCATGCTGCTCTTTAACAATGTCTTGTTTTACTTTTGAAAGCAGAATCCTGATAATACTCTTCCTGTACTGTCTAGCAGACAGAGGACTATCCTTTTGCTATCCATGGTCTCCCAAGCAGTGAGCGCCAGAGCAAACTAATTTATGCAGCAGCCAAATCGCTCGCTCACAGCTTTAATGCTAGTAGCTCACAAGACTCCACAGCTTAGAGGGGGTATTGCTCCCAAGCAAGCAGTAGATTGGATCTAAAGGTGCTAGTCTTCACTCTAGTTTCCAGTCAGAGGATTTCATCTTTGAGACAGAATGATAGTGTTCAGCATCCATAGTATCAGCCAGTAACAATTTTCAGTTGCATATCAGAAGTTCAGTTTTTTGTGTAATGCTGATCTTTTCCTGTTTCCATGAGCAGCTCTGATGGTTTTTCTAGATGCCTTCCCACCCTTGTTCAGCTGGCCTCTGGCTAGAAGACACTGATTAATAAGGATGTTTCTTGTTGTATTGAGCACAGAGTATCTTCTAATAAAGGGATGAGATTGATTAGAATTTGGGTTGGGAGTTGGGCCCTAGAGAATCAGTTTATAGGCCATAAACAGACAATACAACAATTCTGCTTAAAACTTGCTTTTAAAATGTTAGTGATGGTGGTTCTCAACATATTATTTTGAGGACACTAGAGCAGGAATCCCAAAACTTTTTTAGTTTGTGGGCACCTTTTGATTTTTGAGAGAGGGTGGTGAGCACAATCCCAGAAGACTGCCAGAGCCAGATTATCTCCCTCTTCACACCTGGGAAGAATGGAACCACACACTGACAAAGGAAGGGGTGCTTACCAGCCCTGATCCTCCATTGAAAAACCCTTTCATTTGAAAGAGAGTAACCAATAAAAAGGCCCTGCCTTACAGTGGCCTTGTCCAATTTCTGAAAAGCTTGGTAAGCCCCAAAGGAAGTACTGGTAGGCACCATGGTGGGAATTCTGCACTATAGGGTGGAGTCTTCCATAAGGCAAAGGCTGCTTGATCTGCATTTTAAAAGGAGACTGTCCAGTGCACAAGGCATATGACGGAAGGAAGGGTAGGGTAGTGGGAATCAGTGAAACCTAAAACGGTAGTCTCTGGGTTGACAACCGTTGGCCATTACTTTGGTTTGCTGTTCTTTAGTATATATTATGTTGTGGACATGTATAAGTAGGCTCACAAAAGTTTCCAAACTAACTATGGCCTGTAACCAGCCTTGTACAAACAGACCACTGGTTTTCTTGCTTTGTATCCTGGCAGACCCTTCTGATCACTGGAAAAGATTATTCCTTGGGTTATATGGCCTGTCTGTGTATTTGAGGGAGGTCAGTGGAAAGGCTGAAATTGCTCCTTCCTTGTCTTCTGCAAGTTTAGCTCTGTTGGCATAAGAAGGAAGGGCTAATTTCACCTCCTTCCCCCTTTGTTGCACTATAACTGACTGGTATGGCTATGTCACTGCATAGGTTTTACAACCTCAGGAATAATCTTTCCAGTGCATGGAAGATGGAACAAAGGATCATGGGAAAGCTTTGTATATCTTCTGTGCATGCAGGGTTGGATATGGGGGCCACCTTTTAACCCCAATCCTGCCTGTCCTGTGTTGACATATTGTATCTCTGCATCTGGTGGGGTGAAGGGAGTGTTACTAGGTTGAGGATAAGCATTCCTATGTTTGCATATTCTCTTGTGTTACTAAAATGGATGTTGATAATCAAGTCACAATTTAGGATCAATAGTTCTTGCTTTATATAGCCTCTAAAGAGGGTATATGTAAAATCAGAAATAAGTAAAACAAACCATCAGGCAGAAAGAATGGTCTTTATAATACTGACATAATGTGTACATTTTGGTATGAGCAGAAATAACAAGGGAAATACTCGTACATCACAACAGTCAATTGTGTGTCCATATGAATGTAAAAATAACATTTTTTTGTCCACTAGTTCTGTAATGTGGAAGGCACTTTCGTGTAAAATACTGAACTATGCTCGGGGAAAAAACTGTTTAGTGATAATGGTCAACTGTGTTTTTGCAGGGAATTTAGCTAGAAAAATAGAATCGTAGAGTTGAAAGGGGCCTCCAGGGTCATCTAGTCCAACCCCCTGCACAATACTGGAAATTCACAACTACCTCCCACACACACCCCAGTGACCCCTGCACCATGCTCAGAAGATGGCAAAAAAACCCTCCAGGATCCCTGGCCAAACTGGCCTGGAGAAAAATAGCTTCCTGACCCCAAAGTGGCGATCAGCATTTCTCTGGGCGGGTAAGAAAGGGCCACAAGAACTAAGCACTGATGCAACCCTCTCATGATCTGCATAAGTTCAAAGAATCAGCATTGCTGTGTGATGGCCATCTAGCCTCTGTTTAAAAACTTCCAATGAAGGAGAGCCCACCTCCTCCTGAGGAAGTCTGTTCCACTGAGGAAGTGCTCTATTAGAAAGTTCTTCCTAATGTTTAGCTGAAAACTCTTCTGATTTGATTTCAACCCGTTGGTTCTGGTCCGACCTTCAGGGGCAGCAGAAAACTTCGCATCATCCTCTATGTGACAGCCCTTCAAGTACTTGAAGATGGTTATTATATCACCTATCAGTCATCTCCTCTCCAGGCTAAACATACCCAGCTCCTTCAACCTTTCCTCATAGGACTTGGTCTCCAGAGTCCTCACCATCTTCTATTGCCCTACTCTGGACATGTTCCAGCTTGTCCATATCCTTCTTAAATTGTGGTGCCCAAAACTAAACACAATACTCTAGGTGAGGTCTAACCAGAGCAGAGTAAAGCGATAACAATCACTTTGCAAGATCTGGACACTATACTTCTGTTGATACAGCCCAAAATTGCATTTGCCCTTTTTAGCTGATCTAGATGCAACTAAGAATTTGGTTTGGGGGTATAGGGCATATTGGATAAGAAGAATTTGGGAATAATTTTGATGAAGGCCCTTGCAGACCCATTGATTGCTTGCTTCCACTATAGTGGGTTAGTGTTGTAGACCAGTGGTTCTCAACTGGTGGTCCGTGTGCCACCAGTGGAACACAGAAGTAGTCAGGTGGGATTCAATGATTTTATAACAGTTACTAAAAAATTGTTCTCCCACAATCCCAGCGTTTACCTGCAGGTATGAAAGGCTGCCTGCTCCCACCCATATCATGGATTGTCCATCTGTGATGTTTTTGCATGCTAGTAGTAATAACAGAATCCTCATAAATATAGATGTCCTTGTCAGAAATAAGTGGGCTTTTTGTTTCTCTTGTGGTAGGACCTGGGTACTCTTATAGAACAACTGGTGGGTTGAGAACTATTGTTGTAGACACACATTTTCACCGACGTTCGTGATTTACTTGTAGAGGTTATAAGACTGAAGATGTAGCCTTTATTAGGGTCCATGGTCTAGTACAACTCAACCAACAACAGAACTGCTTGTTTAGATAAGATTATGTTAATTGAACCCAAAGGTTGCTTATTCTTTATGGTAATTTTAATGGATAGTCTCAAAGTCTTAATATGAAGCATCAACACAAGTACTTCAGTTCGAAAAAAAGGTTTTCCAGTTACTAAAGCTATCTTTCATCCTTTGTGGTTTCTGAGTCCTCCTCTTCCTCCTCCTCCTCTTCTTCCTTTTTAAACTGATTCTTGGAAATCTGCTACCCAGAGTATAATAAATCAGATTTATTTTGTAACAGAGTCTTGGAGAAAACAGGACAGAGTGTAGTCATTCTGTTCTGAAGGCCTTTTCTGAAAATCTCTTTTACTACCTAATTTTTACAATATTTTCTTCAAGAATAGAAATAAAAACCATTGTCAGATAAGGTATGTTTGCACTGGCCCTTTGCTGTTGGTAGATATGTGGACTCTGGTTGTTAACATTTTTCTGCTCTGATTTATTAACATTTATTCTTGCTCTTGATAACTGATAAAGAAAATGCAAATAGTTTTGAGGGTAGAAAGTCCTTTTACAAACAGATACAAAAACCTGCTTTTACAATTCATGAATGACAGTAACTTAGTCCATTGAAGTGGCTGTGCTGTGAATAGTACAGGAGAGAAGAACAAAGTTTGAGGCAAGTGGCACCTTTAAGACCAACAAAGTTCTATTCAAGGTATAAGCTTTTGTGTACATGCACATGAAAGCTTATACCTTGAATAAAACTTTATTGGTCTTAAAGGTGCTACTTGACTCAAACTTTGTTCTTCTGCTTCAGACCAACACGGCTACCCATCTGAACTTCTACTGTATAAGTCAATGTGGGAGTAAAGATATGAAGTGCCAGGAAAATAAAAAAAACATTTGTGAAAACAACTTTTTAGGCCTTTTTTCCCCAATTTTTCCAACAGAAAAATTGGAAAGTGGGAGTACTGAGAAAAAAATCTGAAATATTTTCTTTCAGAATGAAATACTTTTAAAGACGAGGTGTGCATGCTGTAAACAGATACAACTCTTAAATACAAGATGCATTTCTGCACCTAGAATACCTAATTATCATGAGGGGAGCATGCAGGGTGTTACTACCTCTGTTGCCCTTTGGCATGCGTCTTTCCATCTCTCCCTCCAACTACTGTGCACATATACCCCCCAGCCTGGGTAATAAGTAGCTTATGCCCTTACGTGCTGGAGGGAAACAAAGATCAGAAGGAGGTGGGAGGAGAAACTACCAAAACCTCAGGAAATTTTTGAAAGGTTCATTGAGAATTCATCTCTCTCTAACCAGTAGCCAAAGAGGGGAGAAAACAGCATCTAACTGGAACTGCATCTACTTGTGCGATTATTATTATTATTGACCCTTTGTGGGACCCATTTTCTGACCAAATAGCATGTATTATGTCATTTACCACAAAGCTCGTGTTTTCTGTTTCTCCTAAGTTTTCTACTTTTCAGATAGCAAAAATTAAGGTTCATGTACTAAGGTAGCATAGGGGGTATCCGTTTGCAGTTTTCTCTCAAATATTGGGTATATTTTCAGTTTTGCTTATAGGAAACTAAAGTATTTAACTTCTGATAGGACAGTAAGAATTGTATATATTTCAATTTTCCACAAAATGTCTTTTTTTTAAAAAAAAAAAAGGGAAAAACTTGGTCCCCCCACCGGCTTCAAAATTTTAGAATTTTTTTAATCCCTATGTGGAAGAGAAAGTCTTAGCCGAAGACAGATTTCAAAATCAGTTACGATAGCTGCATTATTGATGCATCTATATGGGAGTCTATGTCCTAGACCTTAAGTCAATTAGAACTGTAAGGGCCTTTTAGAGAAGAGTTGTGATATCGTCATGTGATATGTAAGTCCACTCATTTTTACACTCAGTTTTAAGAATGAAAATCTGGATATCAGTGAATGTTCCAGCTGGAGCTGGCAGGAGAGGGGAAAGAATATGACAATTTTTTTAGAAGAAAACATACACACATACACACAGAGTATGTATTGAATACACTTTCAAATTTGCACCCACTATTTTTACAAATGCTTTGTAGTGATCTGCTTTCTGCCTTCTTCACTTTTGAAGGGTATTTTGTATGGATAAAGTACTTTTTTCACCCACAGTTTAAAAGGGCACTAGGCACAAGCTATAGTTACTTCAAGTGTGAAACCACATTCTGTTTTATTCCCACAACTTTCCTGGTTTTGCTTAAAATTATATCTACTGGTAGACACAAAAACTTGCATTTTGAAATGTCCTGTGAAGTACTGCTCAAGTCATAAGGCATCTGTCTGAATGACAGCCAGAACATTTGGCTAGGTGAAACACGCATAGAAAATACAAAAACTAAGAATGAGTGTCTAATAAACATATTGGACATCTAGAGATGTAAAATTTCCAGAAATTTTGAAGCCACCGAGAAAAAAACATCCCTCCGGGAAACAATGGGAAAATTGAAATATATCAAACCTAAACTATTTCTGCTGATTGAACATTAGATTCTGTCCTTGTGATGGAAATATATACATAGAAATAAATTTAAAAATTGCTGTACCCCCTAATACAAGAACATGGAAAAAAGCATAGCTGTAAGAGGTAATGACTAACAAATCTGAATTTTTTTAAAAATTAAGTTCTTGCTTTAAATTACTGGCTTGGGTCCAAAGTGCTATGTGTGGAGTGAGGCTTATAGAATGATATTTTCCCCAAATCCCTCCTCTTGGTGCAGCCCACGGAGTCCCCTGAAATTCTGCCATGTTGGGGCAAACTGGAATGGAGGAACCATTACCCTGGCAGACAAGATCCCATGGGTCTAATCTAGAGTTTATCCTGAAACCTTTGGGGTGAGGCAAGTCAATATTTCTATTGTACCTGAACTATTCCAGTGCAAGATTTGGATGAACCAGTTCTCTGGAGAGGAGACTTTGAATTTGCACGTACAATGTCCAGACGAGACTGATGCTCTGGAGGATAGAGAGAGCTCCGGAACACCTGTTCAGCAACAAATTATTTTCATGTTGTACATACTTTAGATAAGAGGTTTCAACTTCTTGCCGCAACAACCCTTTTCAAATTGGTAACCATAGTATTTTGCATATTGCATTGGATTCAGGGGAAGGCTCTAGAGCATACATGCAGCTCATGTGGGACACTGGGCAGATCTGGGATGCTTTCATAAATGTGATCTGGGATACATTTGCCTACAGCCACATATTATAGGCAATTATGGGTAATGGAAGACAAGGTGTTTTTTTTTTAAAGGGACGTTTGTCCACCTTTACTAATCTTGCTAAGGAACGAAAAAATAAATTATGATATGCCTCAATAACTGGGTCCTATGCAGGAACAAGAATCCCTAACAATTCTGAGGGACACAGTCTGAAAACTCCACTTCGAATAACTAGATAACTCAACCTGCAACAGAAAGTGATGTTCTTAGATATAAATTTAACTTATTTAAGTAACATGCATCATATTTTAAAACATCGATACCAAACTGCTTGACTGGCCACTTAGAAGAGAGGGCTAGATTGTAAGGAAGTTCTGGAGAATGTGGTTGACAGCCCCGTGGAAAGTATATGGGTGGAAATAAGGGGAGGTAGGACAAAGGGTATTGTTGTTGGAGTCTGCTACAGACCACCGGACCAGGGACAGGAAATGGATGCTGCCCTCCTTGAACAGATTGGTAGAGTATCCAGACATTATGGGAGTCTTCAACTTCCCCAATGTGTGCTGGGAGACAGGCTCAACAAAGCAACAAGAATCACGCAACTTCCCGACCTGTCTGGCTGATCTTCCTTTTTCAAATGGTGGAGGAAGCTACAAGGGGCTTGGCCATACTGGACTTAATATTAACCAACAGGGAATAATTGGTAAATGGGGTGAAGGTGGTGGGGACCTTAGGGGGAAGTGACCATGTCCTCCTTGAATTCTAGTTGCTGTGGGGGGGGGGTGTCAAGGAAGTTCGTAGCCAGATTTGTAGGTTAGATTTTCATAGAGCTGACTTCAATGAAATCAGAGGCTTGATGGGAGTCATTCCATGGGGGAGTGTGCTGGAAGGGAAAGGAGCGAGTGAAGGATGGGCTCTTCTCAAATATGAGCTTTTGCGAGCTCAAGCCCTCACTGTTCCAGCAAGATGGAAACATGGTAAGGGCTCCAAGAAACCGATGTGGATGAACGTGAGCGCTCCAGAATAAGCTAAGGGAGAAAAAGGAAATGGAAGGAAGGTCAGACCTCTAAAGAGGAATATATGAGTTACTAGGTACTGCAGATCAGCCATCAAAGAAACCAAAGCTCAGTATGAGTTGGATCTGGCCAGGGGGGCTTGCTACAATAAAAACTTCTACAGATATGTGAGAAGCAAATGCAAGGTAAAAGAGGCAATTGGACCGCTTTTTGGGAAAAAAGGAGAAACTCTGGTGGAGGACAGAGAAAAAGCAGACAGGCTTAATTACTTTTTTGCCTGTTTTCTCCCTGAAGAACTTGAGCGCATCTAGAGATGGTAGAGGACATGACAGGACACCTGAGTGTCCAGTTGACATTGACAGGGAGGTTGTGGAGAGGCACCTGGCTGCACTGGACGAATACAAATCCCCTGGGTCAAATGGTGTGCACCCAAAAGTGCTCAAAGAACTTTCTAAGGAACTTCAAGAGCCTCTGTCCATCATCTTCAAGGCCTCCTGGAGGACTGGGGATGTGCCACAAGATTGGAGAAGAGCGAATGTTATCCCAATCTTTAAGAAATGGAAGAAGGATGACCCAGGAAACTACAGGCCAGTCAGTCTGACTTCTATTGCTGGGAAGATATTAGAGCAGATTTTAAAGCAATCGATCTGTAAGCATCTGAAGGACCACTTAGTGATCCGGGGAAGTCAGCATGGTTTTGTCCCCCGGTTCTTTTCAATAATTTTATCAATGATCTGGATGAAGGAGTAAAAGGGCTACTCATTAAATCTGCTGATGATACCAAATTGGGAGAAGTAGTAAATACTGAAGAAGATAGAGTTAAAATTCAACAAGACCCGAATACTCTGGAGAAGCGGGCAGTTGCGAACAGGATGCAATTCAACAAAGATAAATGCACAGTATTACATCGGGGCCACAAAAATGTCAAGCACAAATACTGGATGGGGGATACATTTCTAGGGAGTAGTGTATGCAAAAAAGATGTTGGGGTAAGAGTGGACTCGGGGTGAGAGACAGTGTGATGCAGTGGCAAAAAAGGCAAATTCAGTCTTGGGTTATATTAAAAGCCATAGCATCGAAATTGCAGGAGGTCATAGCCCCTCTATATACTGCCTTGGTCAGGCCGCACCTGGAGTACTGTGTGCAGTTCTGGAGGCCTCACTTCAAAAAGGATGTGGACAAAATCAAGAGGGTGCAGAAGAGAGTGACGAAGATGATCAGGGGTCTGGAGACTGAGCCCTACGAGGAAAGGCTAAGGGCCTTGGGAATGTTCAGTTTGGAGAAGAGGAGATTGAAGGGGGGACATGATTGCTCTCTTTAAATATTTGAAAGGCTGTCATTTGGATGAGGGCAAGGAGCTGTTCCAATTGGCAGCAGAGGATAGGACCTGAAGCAACGGGTTTAAATTACATGCAGAAAGGTATTGGCTGGATAGTAGGAAAAACGTTTTCACGTTCGGAGTGGTTCAAGGTGGAATCGGATGCCTAGGGAGGTGGTAAGCTCCCCTTCACTGACAGCTTTCAAGAAGAGGCTGGATGAATATTTGTCAGACATGCTTTAGGCTGGTCCTGCATTGGACAGGGAGTTGGACTAGATGGTCTGTGTGGCTACTTCCAACTCTATTAATCTTTGACTGCCAACAGGGACTAGATTAAATGAGAAGCTCACCACTGCACCTTATAGTGGGATCTTTGATACTCATAAACCAGGAGCCCATAGATTTTAGTGCAAAAGGGTGACCAGGTTCAGCCAGAGCATCTGGCTCCCACTGCCAAAGAGACAAACCATTTGTTTTTTTTTAAAAACATGGACTTTCATCTAATGATCTCCAAGCAATTAATGAAGCTCCAGCTCTACTCATGTTCCTCACAGATAATGTGTTGTTGGGTCCAGTCTCCAAGTACAGAAGGTTTGCTTACATTAAGATTTAAACACTGTGTTTTGCCTTTCAAGATACTTCTATACTTTTCCACAGGTATTTGTACTTCTGCAGTCATTTTCAATCCAGTGAAAGCCATACTAATACTGTACTTATGTGAACAGATCCCCACAGAAAAGTCTCTAAACAAGAGTGATATCCCTAGGGTCTGCTTAATGTTGGACATGAAAAGCTCACAAGTACAAATCTATCTGACCCATCTGACAGTCATTCTGTTTCTAATATAAAAAGACAGTGCTAAGGTCTTGAAATAAGTCTGATTCATTCAAATGGGACTTGAAAAAACGAGCAGTTTTGAAGTTTGAGGGTTTTTTGATCTACTTATAAGTGTGGGTATTTTTAAGTCATCACAGAAAATCCCATATTTTCCTTAAAGTCTCTAAGATTAATAACACAGCTATTGATCTTTAATATTCAGATTGTTTGACAATGCACTTGGTGCAGACAATTCATATCTGAGTACCCAGTTACTCACCCACACTTTATTTTTTGTACCTGTGACTAAACCTTTAATCCACTGAATGAATCCAAATCATCGCCAAAAGAGCAAACCCACTGCAAGCCCTGTGACCCATTCTCCCTAAAAACCTGCTCCTGAAGGTTGGGGGACCTGTTTGAATGTTTTGGGATGCAGCACATCTTCCTGACTGTATTGGGAAGAGTGTATTTGTCTGCCTTCCCATGTAAACACTTGGCTCTGTTTTCACAGTAGCAGGTGAAGGAAAGTGGTTTGGATCTAAACCAACTGTCAGGCTATATCAGTTAATTTTATGCCAACATCATAACTACATTTACATCAGGGAAACCCCATGCCTTGGAATTAAAGGTTACATGTATTTGTGCAGAAATACCTACATTTGGACTACTGTAGGTTTCCTGTTAAAAATGTACCTCTTTGTAGGAGGTTCAACTGGGCTCTTACCTCTAAGTCTTCATTCTCATCAATGTTTTGTATAGCATGGTAGGCCGCAGTGTAAATCTCTAAAGCTTTCCCATGGAATAACATCTCGATTGCTATAAATTCTGAAAATATGTTCTAAAAACAAATTAAGATAAAAGCATTACATGCAAGCCAACCTTTTTTCCTCTGATGTAAAAGCCTGATAATAAATAACTGGAGTTGTCACTATGTATAAAAGTATTAGCCTAATTCACTGTAACCCTTGAAATTACAAAAGGAAAGTATCTTTTAAATAGTATCCCTTGTTCAGTAGGTGTTTAAGCCCTTCTTGTTTCAGTCAATGAAAACCTTTACTGGCATAGATTGAAAAAGAAAACAACAACATAGGAACCACAGATTTTAAATATACAAAGATCGTCATCCCACCAGAGCTTTAACCTTATATTCTCGAACCCTCATAGAAATAGAGCGAAATCTTGCCACTGCAAAGGTGATATGAGGGCAGAGATCTGATAAAAGGATACTAGTCTCTCTTCTGGACAACTGTATCTGTTGATCAAAAGGGGGCTGATTAGGACATCCTGTAGTTTATCGTAGAAGTCACAACTAAGCAAGATGTGTGTTTTCCTGCTACTACATAGACCGGTCCTTTCAGGGTAGGGGACATTTGCAAATCTACCATAAAGGACCACAGATGGTAAAGTGTCAAAATTTGCAGGCATAAAAGCTTGTCTTAATGGTGGGCCTTCTTATTTTTCTAGTGAAAGGTAACAAGAACTGAAGAGGAAAAAAAATACATACTGAACAGAAAATAAGATTGTTATAAACCAAGTCATGTCAACTTGCAGTAGGCAAAAAGTTTGGATTACTAAATGCTTGTTGATTATACTGATGCCACAAACTACACTGATTGAATAGAACTACTTATGCTATTTCCTTCAAGATATACACAAAAATTCCATTGGTGCAAATGAACTTTCTTCTAGTGAAGGGCAGAGGGGTTGCCATGAGTTGGATGCAATGATCATGAGCAGCAGTGCTCTGCTCGTAGAATTGGGCTTTCTTCCCTGCCACTGCAGATCCCCACAAACTGCCCAGTGCTGTTCCTGGGGGTCCCAGAGCCCTGACAGTGGGAAGGGGGAGGAGGGAAGATTCAGCTCTGCAAGCCAAGGACTCAAGGATCACCGTATCTGTCCCAAAGCCTCCATTAATTGTAATAATTAAAGATGGGACTAAACAAAATCAGTGGATTTTAATATTTATGTCATGGTCCAGTTCTAATTGTTATAGTGCCTTGTATTTATACGCTAAGCTGTTCAATATTTACTTGTAAAAAGATGCAGAGCTTTGCTGTGGATGGATGTTTGGCATCCTGAAATTCTAAAAGTCCCCAATTCCACTTCCCCCCTCACAAACACAGTTTTTCTGCTTTGGAAATTGAATATGAATTGACTTATTTCATTTTACCTACTAATGCCTGTCAACTGGGGAGAATTAGTTTTCCTTATTATAAAAAAGGCACTCATTTTCCGAGCCCTTGCAAGATTATTTTACATACAGTTCTATAGTCACCTTTATGTCTTTTATTTTTTGTTTTTCAAAGTTGTCAATGGTTTCCTCCAACAGTCGACTTGTTCTAGTAGCATCCAGTGAAGCTCTCTGTAATTCACTTTCAGCCTTAAAATAACAATGCAATTTATTACTGTGCAAGTTAATGTATTAGTATGGTGTACAATCTAGAACCTACCAGTTAGGCTGCCCTGGAACTGCATGTGAATACAATTGTCAGACCTTGGAGAAAAGCTTCCAAGTATCAGTTTTTAACATCTACAATTCCATGCTCTGAAACACAAAGCTACAGGCTGCGATAATAAACTGTTATCACTACTTTAAGATTATTATAAATTGCATATCTAGCAAAATTATCTGGAAGATATATACAAGTGCAAGGTTCCTGCATAGTGGATTAACATCTTTAAAGGACACAAACACAAAAGATCACACATGTATTCCAGATTCATTCAGAAAAACTGTCATTCCTTTGATCCATATACTTCAGTTCACATGGATGTATTATTCCATATATTAAGCAATAGAAGGGAAAAACTTTCACCGAGTATAAATGTGATCACATGTTAAAGAATGAATATCTATGTCAAGTGATCTTAAATTTGAAAATGGATGAATTTGGGAGTTCATAAAGAGCAGATAGTAGCAAAACTGGGAAAGGTAAGCAAGTGGTAGCAGACAATTTAGAGTATCGGAAATTATGGTAGTCCTGGAAAGATGCTGGGTGGGTAGGAGTTTGGTTGACAGAAAATGAGGTTGGTCCAGACACAGAAGCAGCATAAAGGAAATAAAGGGGAAAGGGTGGGCTGGTACCAGAAGTGCATCACACAGCAGAAAGGTCAGGAATGCTGGATGAAGTGTCATTTGGGTGTGAGGTTAGCTTAAAGGTTTAAGACTAGGAGCCACAGGCTGATTCAAAACAAGAATGACTTACGAGACATTGCAGAGAAGATAAATATGACTATGATAAAATGGAAAGAAAATTTTAGATGGGAGGTATGGAAGACAGAAAGCAAGTAAGACTGAAGCAATCTAAACTAGAGATTGCCACAGTAAATACAAAGAGACAATCTTTAAAGATGACATTTTAGGGGCTCACTCAATGCTATTTCTCTCTTGCCTCAAGGAATTTCAACACTCTACTTCTATACTAGAAAGAAAGTGACAACCTCTCAAGACTGCATTTCTAAAACAATAAACTTATTTTCAAAGCAAAAAAGCTGACCATTAAATGTTTATATATGTTCACAGCTTTTTCAAACCCCACTTCCGCTGAAAGCAACTGAATAAGATTGCAGCTGATGACATCTGATGTCTGTTCACTTCATTACAACAGTGGATTATAATAATTTAGATGTAAACAATCAGTGGCATTGCAGTTTCTGTTCAGTATTCACAAATGTGCAATGAAAAATCTAAAATAAGCATTAGAAGATTTTATTTTGATATTTTGTCTCAGATAAAAGACTAACCTGTGACTGATGTTGGCAGTGAAGGAAAAAATTATTTTTAAGTTACAGAAAATACTAAAACCCCTTTGGACATTTTAGACACACATTGAATCTTTCTCTCTGCAACTCAGTGGTTTTAATCCAGGCAGCTTCTTTACTCAATGTCACCCAACTCCCCTCCCTACTACAGTCCGTATTCCACATGGTGTTTGTCCATTCAGCTGCCATGATCCCCTACATATTTCTTTTGGTGACCAAAAATAATTCCCTCCTTCCTTTTTCAGCAGTGGAGAAGCTGGCAAGATCCAACCAATGGATTCCTCGTATCTTTCTGGGTTAGATCCCGTGCAAAATATCTGTTTGCACTCACTCTCTCGCATAAGCAGAAATATAGGAAATTGACTGCAGTAGCCACTTGCACTAAATCAAAATCTTGTGCAACCAATTTCGGGACACTATGATATACCAGGAGAAAAGCAATAGGTGTTGCATAAGATCTTGTGCAAGTGCAACTGCACCAAGAAGGGTTGCCAGACCCCCTCCTTCTGACAGGCCCCCCTGCTGATCAGCTGGCCGACAGGGGGGGAACTTACCCCCCAAAAGAGGGAGATCCATCTGACATGTTGCGATATGTGAACGTCACTGATTACATGACCTGAAAGTGACATCATCACATGTGGGATGTCAGGACAACGCTCTGGTATTTGGGCAAAAACTCTTATGGCAGAAGCTAAAGAGTTTTTGCCCAAATACCAGAGTGTTGCCCTGATATGATGACATCATTTCCAGGTCATGTGGGCAGTGACGTAGAAACATTGCTGTACATTGGATAGGCCTCTTTGCTGTTCTCAGTAAGTCCCCCCCCCCTCCCCACCTGTTGCCGGGAGGGACCTGGCAACCTTAGCACTAAAGCTGTTTACATTTCCTCACGTTCAGCGCTGGATCCAAGCCTCTGACTGTCTGGTGTATTATGGATTCACATGCATTACAAATTACAAAAACCTGCATATTTAGGAAGCAAAATAAGTCAGTGTACTTCCCAACAGTTTTCTCTTAGTAGAAGACCCACTTTTTGATTCATTCTGCTTTCCTAATGTGTAGCATAGTTATATAGTAAGAATATCTATTCACTTAAAAAATGTTAAATAATTATTTCTTGTGTTCAAGGTTAGAAAGGATACAATAATGTGCCGATCTGAGGGATTACGTTGACGGGTCCTTTCCAGCTGAGACAACTGTTTGGCTTCTCGGTTCTTTGCTGTTAAAGCTGCTTTGAGATCCTCCTGTAATTAGGTTTAAGAAGCTGAAACATGGTTTCTTGCTCATTTGAATTCCCTGATAAATCATCAGCAAGCCAAACCACTTTTACAAATATTAACAGAATATAATTTTATGCACTATTTGGGGCATATTATGATTTCATCAAGATCAGTTTATGAATCATGATATGGATTTCTTCTGAATTTTAAGAAATGCTAGCGATTTTACTTAGGATGTAAAATTGCAGTTTCTGAATAGAAGAGTGTAGATTAAAGGCCAAATAATATATTTAACTCACAGAGGGGGGAAAAGAAAAGAAACCACACCTTTGAACCTTGTCCATCTTATCTATATAGTAAATCTTCAGTTAATAATTCCAATCAAACGGAGTAGTTTTTCTGAGTCAAATAAAAACCTTATTATTTAAGCACAGCAGCACCATGGGAACAGCAGCATTTTTAACTTTCCAAAAAGGAAGTTTGCTATGAGTTAAAAAGCCAGATTTGTTTCAGAATCTCCAAGGTTATATTACTATTCTTGATTTCACAAAGTACTTTACTTATTGACTTACTTTATATGCTTCTCAACCAAATATGTTCTTGGGGAAGCTTACAAGGAGTTAAAAGGAGAACCCACAATGAAAAAAACAAAAACATAAAAATAACCAACACAAACAAAACATTAAAACAAAGGACAGGATTGGAATTTTTCAATGTTGTTTTAAAAACAGTACCATTAATACTTTAAAATGTTGGATAGCATTAAAAAGAGAAATTAGGTAAGTCACATAATATCAGATTTTTTAAAAAAATCCTGCCAACGAGAAGGAAGAGGAGAAACAAAGGCCAATAAAACTGGTACAACAAATATATTTTATCTGACTCCCAAAACTCACAAGCATTTGATAACTGGAGTACTGCAATTCAGAAAATCCTGTTTCTTGTATATAAAAAAGAAAAGGAAGCAGGGCACCTGCTTTAGGTACTGTGGTCCCAAGCCACTTGGGGTTTAAAGGTGATAACTAGAACTCTTGAGCTAGCCTTGGAAACAAACAGCAGCCAGTGCATTTTCCTTTGAGATTGGCAAAATAGGTTCCTTCTAGGTAGAACTGGTGAGTAATCTGGCTGCCACATGTTGTGCCAACTGAAGCTCTTGAATCATCTTTAACAGCACATTACAGTAATCTATCCTGGATGTGATCAGAGCATAGATAGCCATGGCCAAAGCTGGCCTTTCAAGCAAGGGCTGCAGCTGGTATACTATTGTAACACTGCTGCCTTATATCAGAAAATTGGTTATTCTTGCTTCTCCTCTGGAAAAGGAAATTCCTTAAGAATATAAAACAAAATCCACCACCTACTCTCTTCAGTTTTACAATGGTCCCATAACATTTCAGGGGTTCAACCACTTTAGCTTCCAGTCTTTCCACCTATAAAGAAAAGCAATAAAGAATAATCTCAGTTGTATATTTTGGCTACAAATTTTAAACTGTGTCCCACTGACTTAAATGCAGTTCAAAAATACAAAAAGAGGCACCTCAGATTGAGTAGTAAGGATATCCAGATTGTAAACTACTGTACAAATTTAATCTGTGCTTTTTTTTTTGCCATCAAGTCACAGCTGACTTATGGCGAAACCCATAGGGCAGGGTTGTCGAACTCATTTGTTATGAGGGCTGGATCTGACATAAATGTCACTCTGTTGGATCAGGCCATGTGTGTCATAAATTGTAATGCTGGGTACTGGAGATATAACTGTATAAAGGACAGCAGCTGGTAAGCTTCAAGCTGGTGTATCCTCGCTGCAAGGTCCAATGGGCTGAGAGGGGGGTGCAAAGGAAAACTCATATGGGTGGACTGGAGAGCCAGCAGTGCAGCATTGGGCAGATGCTCCCACACTGCTTGACTACTGCAGACGAGGTTCTTCCACCATGCTGAAGCCACAATTGGAGTGGCTTCCCCCACTCCCTCCAAGCAGTCTCCTATTCCCTCCCTCGTACTAGTTGCTCGTGGATTGCATTAGAGCCCTGGATGGGCTGGTTCCGGCCCCTGGGCCTTATGTTCAACACCTCTGCCATAGGGTTTTTAAGGCAAGGCCTCCCCGCATCATGACTTGTATTCCTTGGAGGTCTCCCATCTAAATACTAGTCAGAGCTGACCCTGCTTACCTTCTCAGATTGGGCTATCCAGGTCAGTACAGGATCTGCACTTTACTTGCCTTAAAATAGTTAATTAATCATATGCTTTAACTGAGAGATTAAAAGGAAATACAGTTGCCATATCACCCAAACACCAGCATAACTGCATTTTTGAGACTCCAAAGAAGGTATGGCTAAAATTTAGCAAACACAATTACTTATTGTCAGAAGGAAATATTTCGTATTTCCTTATTCTGTTTCAGTAATACATTGGAATCAATAATCTCAAGTTTGCAATCAGCTCTCCCTCCCATTAAAATTGGCCTCCATCAACTAAACTGTAGGGTCAAGAGACCTTCGTACCTTGAGAGGAGAGAATGAAGATTTCCAGTCACTTCCCAGAATTAGAAAAGACACCTTTAGACATTCATCTGCTAGTCTGACATATTTAGTGCTTTACAACTGTTGACCTTATAACCTTAACTTGTTATTTAGTGTCACTTTGCATATCTCGAACATCATCATGTTACATGTTAATTTGCTGTTCATTCTCTGGCTATAAGTCTGAACATTCCCTGCCATTCTAATGTATTCGATAAAGTGTGCATGCACACTAAGGCTTGGATAAACCTTTGTTGGTCTTAAAGGTGCCACTGGATTCTAAATTTGCTCAAACCTTAGTTGACCAATAGAGCTCATTAAAATTACATAAGATATGTTTTCAAAGACAGGACTTTCTGGCAAGGCATGAGGATGGGAAGAAAATAAGCAGAGAAGAGGCTGGGCTGACACTAGGCTGTGAAAACGTGACTATCAGCAGCTGTCTCAAAGATAGAAAAAAGGCAATGATTCCCTCCATCCGCCTAGACTAAGAGGAATCACAATTTGTATCCACCCCTCCCAGAACTGTCTCCTGCACTGGCCATTACATTGTTTCATTTACATAGTATTTTGTATTTTGCACATGGTTATTTCCTCTTTCTTTGCTATCCCTTCTTCATTTTGTATCTTATCAATGACATTATGAACTGTTACAGCAAGGTCTATTCTATTCTTTATAGCACTATAATGTATTAAGTGCTTAATAAATACATGCCTGGTAAAAGTAATGACAGGAGTCGTAGAAGAAATACTGGAATCATGCAGGATACTCTAGCTCTTCCTCCTGATCACTGAAAACCTTGCCTAGACCCTCGTGTCTGCCTTGAAATTTGTCATTCGCTATTGACAAGCACCATTTGCATCTAAGTAAGTCCAAAAATGGTAACACTTTTCCTTTTGAGAGAAAAACTCAGCGCTGCAGGGCACAATCCAGAGAAGCATATACAAGGCCAAGTTCCTTCCTTCTAGCCTTAGCCCCTCAGAAACTACAAGAGCAAGAAACACAGCTATACTCAGATCAGGCCAGAATGTGGGGAAAGGGAGAAGCAATACACAGAAAGGGATGAACAACGGCATCAGCATGGACAACAAACTGCTTATTATGTTACTGGCAAGGATGCCTACTTTTGAGCCTGCATTGGATAATGCCCACCGAGATCAAATCTCGCCCCCACAGTCATATCAAATGCTTTCCCAGTTTGTGCAAATTGTAAACACCCACAGACATTTGCCAGAAAAAGCGCATTTGCCAAGCCCATAGTATTTATTTTTACTCAAAATGGATAAAGTGAAGTGTGCTAATAATGGAGATGGTCTATATTTTAATATATCAATATTAAAGCATAAAGTGTACAAGCTAAATTTTATACCTCAGCCTGGCGGTAATCTTGAAGTTTGGAAAATTCAGATGCAAAATTTTTTAATCCAAGCTTTAAATTTGGTGTTTCTGTTGCAGCATAAACATGTATCTCATTTACCAGGAGATCTGCTTTGTCTCGCAGTCTGGCTGTTTTTCGTACATATGCTGCAAATATTTGGCACAGTTCACCAAAATGTTTTTCCACATTTGACACAGCATCCCGTATTTGTCTAGTCTGATTGTCCCTAGAGAGAGAGAAAGAAGGGAATGTGATAAAGTCAGACTGGGTTGACACAAACCACAATTTAAAAAACACTACAGCTAATGTTGTGATCTTAAGCTGGGGGGGGGGGAGAAACACAACTGATTTAGTTTTAAATTCTCACAAGAGCTCAAAGTAGGAAACACTTAATATAGCATCACTCTAAGAATAAGGAAGTCCTTTTCCTAAGTGAAATCTAAATCACTTGTTTAGATCCTGTGGATCTGTTCCTAGATCCTTTCCTATATGGAAGAGGCTCTTCAAGCAGAATGGATCTGTGGACTCCAACCTAGTACTTGCTGTTATCAATTAAATGTCTGTCTTTCACTTTCCCCAGGGAGCTCCAGGTGTAATATGTGGAGTTGGATGCTGCCAGCATTTTCACTCAGAGGAAGGCTTTTGCCTCTATGCCTGTTGTTGGTCTTCTGTGGTAACTGGCTAGTCACTGTGAGGATGCTTGGCTGGATGGACCACTGGTTCGATCCAGCAAGGCACTTCTTAGGTTAAGCCTGCATTCAGTAGGATTTAGCTTTAGATAATATAGCATGGAAACTACTGAGGGCTATGTTTTCTGGGGAATTCCCATATCTATTTCCCTTTTCAAAGGCAGTGTGCATTTACCGTATAAAACAACACATATGTTAATAAACTAATGTGACTCTAAAGTACATTCTGAAGCACAGGCATCAAATAGAGGACTGGTGACTGGTCCCGCCATAACTTCCACACTGACTTACACATAGTTTCACAAGCTTGCCAGATGCTGCTGCATGAGTGCACAATACTTTTTATACAACCACAAGCAAAGGAGGGATTTCTGCATACTTGAAGGTTCCCTGGGTATTCAGAAAAATACTGCTTGGTAAAAGATGGTCTAATCAGAACAGTGTGCTCACTGCCCTCCATGAGATGCTGCCTACTGAGGGCAATTGTGTGTCAGGTGAGGAAAGGGAAGGGGCCAGTCTGCAAAATCTTTTAAGAACTTGGCCTTTTTATATTAAGTATCTCCCCCTCTTTAAGTTACTTACAGCCCCTAACAGTTTTAAATATTCTGGACTAGGAGAAAATAGGATGGGGGAATGCATGCTGAGACACTTGTGATATCCTGATTGTACCACTCAGGTTTGGGGCTCCATAAACAAGCTTTGTTCCCCTAGCACTGACCCTCAGCATTCAGCAATACTAAGTGATGGGGCTACAGCACAAGACTCTGTTCCACTGTATCTGATGAAGTGTACTCGCACAAGAAAGCTTATACTGTGAATAAACCTTTGTTGGTCTTAAAGGTGCCACTGGACTCAAACTTTGTTCTGCTGATTCAGACCAACACAGCTACCCTGCCAGAAAGACTCTTTAGTGTTAGGGCTATATAATAAGGATGCTATGCATCTTGCTCTAAAGTCCAGCAGTTTCACACAACTGTATTGAGGGACTCCCTGGGGACGCAGAAAAGCTCATTACTCTCCAGGAACCAAGGAATGTTGAGGATAGGTGAGTGACACTTGGGGGTTATGTATAGTACCTATACATGGAGATTAGATAGGGGACCTGCAGGGAGGGTGAACAACATACTACAATAGCAAGAGGGTGCTGGGCTCTTGCGGGGGAGTCACATACAACTTGCTGCAATCTCAGCAGTCATTTTTATATGGAAATTGCTCTGTAGCACTAGGTTGCTAAGGTTTAGGGCTACATGAGCAATAAATAACTAGCCTTGGACCCCAGGTCTTGTATTATACAGTAATGGGTGGGCGTATGCAATGCTCCCTCTAAGCTGTGGAGTCTTGTGAGCAAAAATTCTACTTTGTGAGCTACTGGCATTAAAGCTGTGAGCGAGCTATTTGGCTACTGCATAAATTAGTTTGTTCTGAGCTAAGACAAAAATGTGTGAGCTGGAGGCTAAAAAACTGTGAGCTAACTCAGTTTAGAGGGAACACTGATTATGTGTGAGAGGGTGAGACAGGATTTCCCAAATGTTCATAGTATACAACTGTTTAAATATTATAGATTATTTTACATTTAGAATGCACTTTACACATTTTGTTGAGGCTTGTCTATGGTACAAGCTGAATTTTCCAGCAGGCCTCCCAGACCAAAGTCCAATTTTCTGTTTTCTGGACCAACCCCTACGGCTCAGACATTCATGGACAGAAGAAACAAACTCTGGAATCTAATGATGGCCACTTATTTATTAATTAAAATATTTATATCCCGCCTGTCCTCTTGGTTCATGGCAGTAACTTGTTATGTTCTTCCTATCCAGAAACTGCTTCTGTATTATCACACAAAAGGACCCCCACATGTAGATCACCACACACAGTAGCTCCTTGTCTTCCAATTTGGAGGTCAGCACGGTGGCATAAATTAAGGGCTACAGGTAGCAGAAATGCCTTTTCCATCCCAGCACCAAGATCCTAAATAGCTAAAGGAACTAAAGATCTCCACAACCAGAGGGAGCAAGCCTCTGAATAGCACTGCTAGAAGGCAACATAAGGGAAAGGTCTTGAACTTTATGTCCTGTCGGTTAGCCTTGCAGGATAACCACTCCACAAAAAGGATGCTGAACTAGATGGACTACTGGTCTGATGATTCAGCAGTGAACCTCTGATATTTATGATCATGAATAGTAGAAGTACTCCTGAAATCAATGGGATTACCTTCTAAATAATTGCCTTTATTTATTCTGGGGATTCAACACACACACACACACACACCTCAAGTCTGAATTCACAACCATGGTAATGATCTGTATTGGTTGTGGGTCCTAAAGAATTACAGTGATCTCCAGACCAGAGAGATCAGTTCCCCTGGAGAAAATGGCTGCTTTCGAGGGCGGACTTTATCTACAGGATTATACCCTGCTGAGGTCGCACCCTTCCCCAAATCCTGCCTTCCCCAAGCTCCACCCCAAATCTCCTGGAACTTCCCAACCCAGAGTTGGCAACCCTGCCTCCTGTAAGCATCTTTAAAAAAATGTGTGCGCACAAATTTTGGAGCGAGGAGGCATACAAACACATGCACCCACGCACACAGCGCAGCGGGAATAAATAACCGTCACCCCAACGGCCGTAAAATGAATGGGGTTGGGCAGTCCGGAGGACAAAAACTTTCCACCATCTGCCTTCCTTTGCGGTAGGCACAACCAGCAGCGGCAAGGGGAGTGTATGTCTGTTTATCAACAGAGAGACTGGGGGAGAGGCTCCCGATTCCCTCCATACTTTAACTTGGTCCGAGACTCGTTAGGGCCTTGCCCGAAATCTGTCAGGTAAAGCGACGCTCAGGAAAAGGACCCAGAGCACGCGCAGAGCGCCCCCCTCCGCCACGGAGCCTACGCGGCGAGGCTGCGCTCCTGGCAGGCCGCTCGGCGCACGTTCAGCCCCATCCTTCCCTCCCAGTACTCCTCCGCCCTCCTGGAGCACATCCAACTGGGGCAAAATGTGCCCAGAGAGGCGCCTGCCCGCTCTCCCCCCGCCCCCGGCCGGTATCCCGAGGCGAACAACTTTCCCAACCCAGGCGCGGCCCCTCAGGTCTCAATTAAGCGGGATCCTGCCCTCGGCGAAGTAAGAGAAGGAAGGAGGCGAAAGCCTCGGGGCGGCGCCTGGGCCTCTTGCCCTGCGGGCGCAGCCGTTACCTGGCATCCACCCCGCGACCCAGCATCAACATGGCGGCGGCAGCGAGGACGACGGGGGTCGGGAGACTAGGCGCGCGCGCTCGGCTGCCAAGCAGTTGCCATGGAATCCGAGCGCCACCCTCCCGGCCGTCCCTCGGTTCTGGGAGGCGGTGGGACGGGCGCGCTTCCTCCGCGTTGGTCCTGCACTCCTCGTTTGGTGCTGTTGTGAGGGACGAAGAGCGCCGCGCGTTTTTTGCATGCTGGCAGGCTTCGGCTTGGCTGACAAAAGGGGGTATTCCACTGGGACGACCCTGTATTGCGCTCTGACTTGTGCACGGGGTGCATCTGTTGCATCACTTCTGTGGGCCCAGCGGGCTCAGAGTAATACTAGTCCTGCAATATCGGCAAGTGTCACTTAGGAAAATGTAACAGAGAATCCCTCATTTATGAAACAACCAAGGTTTATAAATGGAATTTTAAAAGAGTGGGCAGGAAATGTTTACCTCCCTTTCTCTTGATCACCGTTGGCAGTTTTGGCCCATATGATGGAGGCCGAAAGGGTTCTCTTCTCCCTGTAGTTGGAAGGGCTGAAGAACTGGCTGGAGAGAAAAGAGGCACCATGGACTTCTTCACTAGCTGCACTTAGCCTATGCTGGCATAAATCAAAGTTGGGTGCTGGTATACTTGGGCTCCTCCCCACAGACCACACTGGGCCTGGGCTGGCAAAAGATGGAATGGGTTTTGCCACGCTTTTCCTTGCCAGCTGCACACCACTGGGTTGGCAGGGCAAAGTAGAGCACCACTGTGCAAGTGTAAAGTTTATGAAAATTCTGAGGCCACAGGAATTTTGGGTGGGAGGGTGGATATGCAATATTTTCCTATCAAATCTGAAATTATTTTAACAACTTAAAATGTATCCTTTATACCTTAGTTAGCATATATAAATAAACTATCGGGCATATTTATGGAATTTAAAAGTATAAATGCCTTGGTTTTCTGTAAGAAAAATAGCAGTTATTTATTTATTAGATTTTTTTTTAGTTGCCACTCACCTGCAGGGTCTTGTGGTAACTTACAACATTAAAACCAATAAGGTAAAAACAACATAAAGGTAAAGGTTCCCTTGCTCGAAAGCCGGTCGAATCCGACTCTAGGGTTGCGGTGCTCATCTCCATTTCAAAGCCGAAGAGCCAGCACTGTCCGAAGACGTTTCCGTGGTCATGTGGCCGGCATGACTAACGCTGTTACCTTCCCACCGAAGTGGTACCTATTGATCTACTTGCAATTTCTTGCTTTTGAACTGCTAGGTTGGCAGGAGCTGGAACTAGAGACAGGAGCTCACCCTGTCTTGCGGCACCTGGGTCTTGAACCGCTGAACTACTGACCTTCCACAGCCTGCAGTTCAGCGTCTTAACCACTTGAGCCACCGCAGCTCACCAAAAACAACATAAAAATATTAACATTAAAATGTTAATGTTATCACCATAACACTATTAAAGCAGCTCAAACACATGGTTACCCTCATAAGAACATAAGAACATAAGAGATGCCAATGTTGGATCAGGCCAAAGGCCCATCCAGTCCAACACTCTGTATCCCACAGTGGCCAGAAATACCAGTGCCATCAGGAGGTCCACCAGTGGGGCCAGGACATTAGAAGCCCTCCCACTGTTGACCCCCCCCCAAGCACCAAGATGACAGAGCATCACTTGCCCCAGAGTCCCTATCTATACCTTGTGGCTAATAGCCACTGATGGACCTCTGCTCCATATGCTTATCTAATTCCCTTTTGAAGCTGTCCATGCTTGTAGCCGCCACCACTTCCTGTGGCAGTGAATTCCAAGTGTTAATCACTCTTTGGGTGAAGAAGTACTTCCTTTTATCCGTTCTAACCCAACCGCTCAGCAATTTCATGGAGTGCCCACGGGTTCTTGTATTGTGAGAAAGGGAGAAAAGCACCTCCCTCTCCACCCGCTCTCTCCCATGCACAATCTTATAAACCTCAATCATGTCACCCCTCAGTCGTCGTTTCTCCAAGCTAAAGAGCCCTAAGCGCCTTAACCTTTCCTCATAGGGAAAGTGTTCCAACCCTTTTATCATTCGAGTTGCTCTTTTCTGCACTTTTTCCAAAGCTATAATATCCTTTTTAAGGTTTAGGCCAACCTAAACAATTCAGCTTTGCATGCCCTGTGGAAACTAAAAAGTCCAGCAGTGTACAGGTGTCATCTGAGAGTGCGTTGCACAGGGTAGGGGCCATACCTGAAGGCCTTTCCCTTAGTGACAGCCAGCCGAACCATCCTGGGGCCAGGCACCTGCAACAGACCCCTGGATGATGACCAAAGGGAGTGTGGGGTTGGATCGGGAGAGGTGGTCCCGTATATCCAGTACTTGAGAGAGAGAGAGAGAGTTGCAGATTGTTGCGACTTATGCTGTTTTAGCATCTGAAGAGGTAGAAAAAACAAAGCTGAAGGTAAAAAATAAATTCTGCAGTAAGCAACATAAAATGTATTATTTGAACAGAAACTTACTTAACAGTCACTATAGGCAGGACTCCCAGCATATGTGGTTATCAAGTGAAACTTCATAACAGTGGAAACACCAAACTCGTCTATAATGTATTATTATTAAGCACATTGATGGTGGAAAGTGCTTCATGTCACAGCCAACTTAGGACAACACAGGGTAAGAGATATTTAGAAGTGGTTTGCCATTGCCTGCCTCTGAGAAGCAAACGTGGGCTTCCTTCCTGGTCCCCCATCCAAGTACCCCGCATACCTTCTAAGATCTGACCAGATGGGGCTAGGTTAGGCCATCCAAGCCAGTCATTAAACACATTATAGGGTATTAATTGTTGCCAGTTTTTTTAAAATTTAAAAACCATATTATTGAAAATCTGTTCTATATGTCTATAGTATAAATGAAGTAAATAAATATACATTAAGTATTATCAATCTATATGCTAATAGCCAAGAGTCTTCTCTCCATGTGGATACTTATTGTATCCCCCAACAGGTTTTTCTACAGACTCAGGGGACTCTGTGGGTCGAGAGAAAAATCCAAAAAAATTAAAAAAAAAAAACACCCTCAGGGAGGCCCCCCCCCAATACCTTTAGAAATGGCCGCTGCAGGGAACTACTCCAGGCATCAACGGTGAGAGGTTAGAATGTTGGGGTGGGGGGCTTCTAACTGGTTATGTCAGTAAAAGGAAGGGGGAAGGGCCCTTTCCAGGCCTATTTTGGCCTTTCAGAGAGGGATTCTTGGGGCCAGGTCTGACAAGAGGTGGACCCTGAAGAGGTACAATGCCATAGAGTTCACCATCCAAAGCATCCATGTTCTCCATAGAAAGTTATCTCTGTAGTCTGGAGATAAGCAGTAATTCCAGGAGATCCCCAGGTCCCACCTGAAAGCTGGCATCCCTAGGCAGCACCCTGTGGGTGAATGGATAGCACCTGATTTGCATGACTCAACTAGGCCTGGCTGCTTGCTACTCTTCAACAGCAGCCACCCTATGAAAGCCAGTGTGGTGCAGCAGTTAGAGCTTCAAAGTAGGGTCTGCAAGACCCAGATTCAGATCCACATCTTGCAGTGGAAGCTGACTGGGTGATTTTGGACTAGTCACATTCTTGTCAGTTTCTTGCCAGTGCCAGTCTGGGAAGTTCCTAGAGATTTTGTGGTGGACAAAGGTGTGAGGAATGGGATAACTGCCCAGCAAATTTCTTGCTGGTCCCCACTTGTCATTATCTAGTGCTGTAGGCTGGCTTGTGTAAAATTTTTCATACTGCACATTTTGGGTAAAACCTTGTCCCAAAAAGCATTCCAAAAGAAAAACAAACTCTAGGAGCCCCCCCCCCCAGTGTTTCCTCCTCATTTTCTACTTGGAAAAATTGAACAAATCCTCAGACTTTTCCTTTTTAAACAATTTGAGTGAGAAAAACATTGTCTTAAAGAGGTATATTTAATTTCACTCATTCCAACAAAGAAAATATTTCATAGCAGTTTTTCCAGTGCTTTCCCAAATTTTCCAGTTTTTCTGTTGGAAAAATTGAGAAAAAGTTCTCGGAAAAAGAAAGCCCCGCCTTTCCCCCCTCCCTTTCACCTCTCCAGTTCTGCTTCTTTTCCTTCCCATAGGAAGCACTGGGCCTGGACCAGTGGGGCTGTGTTGGGCCTTGATGTGCATGTCCTTCTCTGCCTAAATTCACATGATAGGAAGAGGAAGTGGCCAGCAATGACTTCACCAGGCGCTCTGCTCTCCAAGTGAATTTGTATGAATTTATTCACGGTCATTGACCAACACATAAACCGCTTTACAGCTCTCCAAGTGCGCATCATAGGACCAGGCTTGACGGTAGGGAAGAGAGATGACTAATGAAAGCTTTCTGTAGGGCCAGGTCTCCAGACCTGCCTTAAAAAGGAGCCCTTTCTACTACAGAATGAGCTTGTTTCACCATCATGCCATTCCTCTCAACTTGTATGCAAAGAGGCAAGAAGTATGGCATCCTTGCTCACATGCAGGTCATTCCAAAAACTAATCCCCCAATTGTTGCTCTATAGGGGCTCACAACTGACCTGAGTGTCCTAGCCCATGAGCTGAAGTCTGGTGCTCTAGATGATTGTTGGGAGACAGCCTTAGTGGAAGAGGAACTCTTTAATGTATTCCTGTGGTGCCATTTTGCTGCTGACAGTCACCACCCAAGCTGATTATATAAATACATGCAAATATTTCTCAGTGTGGCTATATGTGCTTGGATTGGCTATTTTTTGGCAGGCAAAGGGGAGGGGGGAACCCTACATAATTCTCCCCTTAAAATTGCAACCCCTGTGACAGCTTTCAGTTAAGAAAAAAGGGAAAAAAGAACCATGGACCTAGATACAGGGCTTTTTTCCTGGAGGAACACCACAGAATGGAATTCCGGAACCTCTTCGACAAAATTATTTTAATTCTTTCAAAAATGTTTAAAGGTTCCTGAGTTTTCAGTATACAGACTGAACACTTCCCTCTTTAGAGTTCTAGCACCTCTAGCACATATATAGTTCCATCCTCAGAATCCCTGAACTAAGATCAATCAAGACTGCACATACTGGACCAACTTGATTGTTTATATTCATATTTCTTCTTAGTTTTATGGATTTCTCTTTTAAGTAATATTTTATTAGAATGTAAGAAAGGCCTGTTATATAGAAGGCTTTCCCCTTGTAGGTCTGATATTGCTAGCAGACAAGATAATAGGTACAAAGTTCATGATTCTGTAGTTCTTA